TAATGGTGATTAGGGCCAACACAGTGAATAACTGATCAAATGACAGAGTAGCCCTTTATTCTTATCCTACTCCATGGAGGTGAGCTTGCATTCAAAACAAAGGGCAGAGCACACAAAGAAAAGAATCCCCATGTGTAACACCCCAAAGACTGGTCCTGGGAGTTAAACCACAGATGAAGCAAAAGCTCCCTTCATATTTCCATCAAGAGCACTGATGTGTCCATAGTGATTATCTTAAAAGGGGCCTTTGCTTTGTGGTATTTTCAAACTGCTGTCACTGAAGAGCTAAATGTTTATAAAATAACCCATATCCCAAGCAAGCTGAATTCAATTATACAAATCTCTGGAAGTGTGCAAAAAGGTAGAAAAACTTCTACCCAGAGTTAGAGAGCTGAAATTCCATTTCAGCTCTTCCTGGTTGGAGGGGTCCTTCTGTTTTGAAATGCCTGTTTCCCCGCTTTGATGGTACTGAGTTAGGGAAGGAGGTGATGCACTATGTTTGATGTGACTCACGATGCCAGCATCTGCTATTCAAACAGCTATGTGGAGCGAGGCTGGGAAAGTCCCCAACGGGGTAGAGTGTGAGCCAGTAGAGTCCAGAGAGGTTCGAAGGGGGTGAGGAGGAGGAGAATTGTACAGTGTGATAGGGAGAAAGCAGGCACTGAGCATACAGCAGGCAAACAGAGATAAATGGCATGTTTCAGAGGGGACTAACTGTGCTTTGCAGAGATCAAGTAAACACCGTGTCCTCTAAACTCGATCAATCAGCTTTAATTTTAAATAGCTGCAACACACACAATTATGATTCAGTTACTAATGTAAAATAAATGGGTGAAATAACATTGGAGTACCTGAGTAAAGCCTAGAAGCAGGAGATTTAAATATAATTTGCATTTTCAATCTTGCTTCTCCGGGAATGTGTCACTGACAATGGGAAGCTACCACACTTCATCCTGCTTTGCAAATTCCTCTAATCCATGGTGAGTCTACAGTTGTCCTTTGCATGGATTCTTGTAAATTTGAGCTGCCTATCATAAGGAATATGGACACCTCTGCACCTGTAAACTGGGCTGAGTTTTTCCTATAGAAAATTTGAAATGAGTTTTAATTATGGTTCTGTAATTTTACTTTCTTTGTTTTTTGTAGATGCATTTTTTGTTTTGGAAAAAGTGTTAGGGCTTACTGTTTTCTTGTGGGCACAGAAAAGGGATGTGTAGTTATCAGATGAGCTGAGTTTTTTCTTATTCAATTAAAATGAAACTTAGTTTTATAGAAGAAAATAGATGGATTTACTTAAAGAATTCCCTTGCAATACTGCTTATCTTCTTTGATTACCCCAAATTCTTGACACATATTTTCTTATGTTCTCAGGATCAGACTATTAAAGGCTCAGTGTATCAAAGGAGTTTTTATTTTAGACTTTAAGATGTATTTGTTTTAGTTTTCAGGATTTTACTGTACAACAGTGTGAGATATTTGAAGCTGTATGTTTTACGAGCTTTGTCTTTTTCCTGGAGTATCTTAAAATTCCTCAAATATAAAATGAAGACAGATATATTTGAGAGTGTTTGCTTATCTGACCCTTCAGTCTTCTGTGTAAATAGTGAATGATATAAAATTGGATGAAACTTTGCAAAACCGTAATAGTCATCCTTCTAACTTTGTAAGTGATTACACTTATAGTATCTTAGAAAATCTGTTTTTAAAGACTTGCAAGAAAGGCCCCCTCCACCCCAGATAATCTGCTTCCTATGTGGAAACTCAGTTACTCTTTTCAAGAAAGAAGAAATATTTGGTGATTATAAATTGAACCTCCCTAATTGGAAAATTCCCATCTGAGCAATTGGATCTCAAAGTTTCAGATTAGAGATGTACAACTAATAAATTCTATTAAAATATGTCAAAATTCAGAAACTCTGAAATCTAAAATATATCTGGTCCCAAACATATTGGATAGAGATTACTCAACCTATATCTGCATTTATCTGTCCATTGATATGAAGACTACCGCATGGAAATAGGTATCTACTTCCGGTGGCTTTCTTTAGCCTTTGTATATGTTTTAATTTTGAATTTATGCATTATCTCCTTTAAAAAAATTGCTGTTTCCCATGGTTGTTGCCAAGACCTGTTAAAAGAGTTCATAATATGTGCACTGAAGTATTATAAAAGCAAAGTGCTCTTTTTGTGTTACAAGTTTATTTCAGATTTCATCCCAGGAGTCTTAAAGTCTGCTTATTGGTTTAAACTTAGTTAATCCCTGAATTCCAAGAACCTTAAGGTTTGTGTGGCTTTTAAAGTGTGTATTTAAGAGTGAATTACATGTCTCCGAGTCTATCAGCTGGCAGCTACTAAAAATTAGCAATGAAAACAATCTCTGTTCTCATAAATTACTTTCAGAAAGTACATTGCACCAAAGGAGAAATGTTGCCTTGGATTTTGAGATATATTGTAGTTCTGTTTTTTAAAAAAGTTGAAAACTGTCCTCAAACTCATAAGTTTGCCACCAGAGTAATTAAGCAGTTGCTCAGAGTGATACCTACTTGGAGTTTCACATTTAGACAGAGCAATTGAAACTTGGTTCCAGAACTCCACCTTGCCTGCCCTCTCTTTTCCATGTGATAAGCGATAGCCTCAGGTCCTCTGACCACCCAGGGTAAGACCTATTTCTATAACATGTTTTCTGCACAAAAGATGGCTTTCATTTCACCAGTCGGTTCAAATTTTACCCCTCAGGGAGTCCTTTCTAGACTGAGCACAAAGCACTCTATCCTCTACGTTTTTCATTATTTTCCTTTGCATCACGGGAAATGGTATGACTTTTCTTTCCTTTCCTCTTATCCATTAATTTTGCCATTTTTGTCCCCGCCAAAGGAATGGGAACTCCATGAGTACAGGGATGCTGTTTAGCCCATTACTGACTGCATCTCCGCAATACCACACACTATAAATATTTGTTAAAGGAATAAATCACTATGACTTGTCCTCTTGCAATACTTTGGTAACTTGCCATACCAGGATTTAGATCCTAAGTGCTATACAACTTTTATAAGAGCGTATCAAGTATCTGCTTGTCCAAACTGTTCTAAATTGGACCAGCCATGTCCAACCTTTTTTTACGCCAAAGCATCCACAGATGCATAATCATACTTGTGAATGCATGACAGTGCTGTATAGCGAAGAAAACAGAGAAGCTTAAAGCTTGGTAAAATATAATTTCTTGATTTTATAAATTTATAAGGAAAAAATCCAGCCATAAAGTGCTGGAGATAGTATTAAAATTGAGTTTACTTTGCAGCTTGCAAATGAAATAATTTACAGCCATGAATTTCTTCATAGCACATTTGTATGCCACTTGCCACACACATTGTTGCATTGGTTGAGAGACTCTTGAGTTTAAAATGCAGTGAACTTAATTTTCTTTTGGCTCAGATTAAGTCACATGAAGATCTGTCAGTATCTTGAGTAAAATAGCTCAATCTTTTTTTGTCCAAATAGAAATCAGAATAAAAACCATCAGACGTAATGAGCAATACAAATGTTGCCTAATTGATCATGGATTTTTCTTCTGCCTTGGGCACTTCTCTTGAGAGAAGTGTGGCTACTAATATTTTATGCTAAGAACAGATGAGCTTATTCCATGCTCTCCCACTTATTAGTCCTGTGTCCCTGGCAAGGATCCTTGAGTTCTTTGAGTCTAAACAGTTTCTTTTGTTAAGTATAAAGCAGCGGGTTGATCTGTTGATGAGGATTCAACAAAAGAAATGTTAAGCAAAAGACTTGGAGGGAGGCTGCTGTCCATATTTAAGCAAAGGAAGAATGAGATTTTCATCTTTTGAAACCAAACAAAAGAAATAACAATGCCAATAAGACATATAAAGAGAAAAATATGAAAAGCCTTCAGCAAGTTGAATCCTCCTTCAGGAGAGCGGCAGACCTTGTGGGTGTGAAAACTCAAACGTTTGAGGGAACTGGTGCTTAAGGCAACCTCCCTGTACGCCAGCCGCCTGGTCACCATACATGTCATTCTGGGGTGTGCAGTCCTAGCTGTAAATTTCCCAAGTGGCGAGATATTGAGAATGGCTGAATGGATTCAATTTATTTGCTCTAGAGTAATGCTCAGCCATAAATCATGAAAACAGTAAGCAGGTAGTATGTTTAGAAGTTGTGTATTTGTTTTTGTTTTTCTTTTTCCAGTTATGCTCATAGATGGTGTTCTCCAGGTTCAGGAGAGTAACTGCAAAAGATACCATCCTTGCATCTAACCCAAGTGCTTTGGGAATGAAGCCACTGTCTATGTAATGTAGAGTGATCTTGGGCAGTCTGGTACAAATACTTACATTTGAAATTAGATCTTTAGGTCTAATGTCTCGTATCGGGTGGATCATGTTACATTCTTCAATGTTTTCTTCAAAATTGATTTTGACCAAAGTGCTATTGCATATGGAAAAGTCTAGTTTCACTGAAAATCGAAAATGGAATTGGTTATTAAGGTTAATTGCCTCTCAAAAAAAATTATCTTCTTTATTTGCATATTTGAAGTGTTGGATGCTTACCACGCTGTGTTCTAGATACCGCTTAATGTTGAAAACAACAGAAAAATCTTGTCCCCGCTAAAAACATCCCAGCCTAAGAGGAGGCAGACATGAGAAAATTTCAGCTGTTATTTTCAAGTCAAAATGACAAGAAACAAAAATGGGAGGAGAAAATAATATCCTTCTGTCCTGAAGTTACTCCAGGACACCAAGTCTTTCATGGGCGCTGCCAACATGGTTACCGATTTTTCATGATGATTCATTACTTGAATTCCATGCTGCAGAGACACCCCAACCACACACCCTGCCACCAGATGGTGGCATGTGGGGGAGACCAGCTCGGTGGCCTGCCTTATTGTCCACAGAGTTGTTTTTGAGTTTACTGACTAGAGGTGAAGTGTACAGGGTTGCATGTATACATTTTCACAGACTTTTGTTTAGTGACTTTATAACTCTCTTTCCCAGGTGCCCTTGCTAAAATTTCACCTCTTCAATCACCCTGCTCCTCCCCTCTCCAAGGGACTCCTGCCAGCAGCCCTGTCAGCAAAATTCCTACAGTGCAGTTTCCAGAATCTACTGAGACAACTGCCAAACATGGTCCAAGTTCTCACAGGACTTTAACCTATACTCAAAGTGCCCCCGACCTGTCCCCTCCAATCCTGGATCCACCGGTTCTATGTAGCAGGTAAGGATTTGCATTGTTAACTGGAGTTTAATAATAAGGCTGATAATAATTTTCCCCACTGGAGCACCCATTACCCATCCACACAGCTTGGTGTATGTTTGCCAAAGTAATTAATGAGAAAGCATAGGTTAATATGATTTCTATCAGACAGGCTCTGATAGCAGAAGAATTTTTCAGTGGCATTCTATTAATGGAAAGCTCATACTCCATGTGGTCCATAATGCTAATCTTTAGAGATGAGGCAAAATCAATAGTTGTACATCTTTTCCCTTTGCCAGTGTGGAATGTATAGAATATATACTTTAAAAATTATATCAAGTAATCTGATATGACATTTTGTTAGAATGTTCTTTTACTTGTTCTCCAGGGAGTATTGCAAACTGATTTGAAGAATATTCACCTAAAGTTTGCCTTTCTCATTTTAACACCTTGAAAATGTACAAAAATAGATGCTACTTGTTGCTTGACTTGAACAGTTCTTTGAATGTAATTCAGCTCTGGGTGAGCTATTCTTTTTTTTTTTAAAAAAAAAAAAACAACTCTTTCTGTCCTTTTTATTTTTTCCAGACTGCTGGAAATTAGGGCAGTGCCAATCCAATCCATGGACTAATCCAGCAGTAACCCAGCCTTAATCCAAGAACCCTTAACTCCAGCATTGCACTCTGAGTCAATCACACACTCTAGATTCAGCTGCTTCCAATGAAAACCAATCTAAAAGTGCATGAGGCTTTGGGGTAGATTTAGAAAGAAATCATAATATTCCATCTCTGCCTACCAAAGATTCATGGACATTCATTTACAAAATGATACTTAGTTCTTCTCTAAGAGTTGCCAAAGTCCTAACGGGGTGAGCTATTCTATCACATTAAAAACAGAATTACAAAATGTTCATTACAGAGATAAGAAAAGAGCTTAACATGACTGAAGTAATTATTTTGCAATGTTGCCATAATAAAAAAGCATTTCCTCTTCCTGATTAGTGTATTTTATTATTCATCAATAATAGCTTCATTGTAGATAATTGATATTGAAGCATTAAATACTTTTTGAGTGCAAAATAGTTGAGTGTTGTGAGTATAATAAGGCGTGTGCCTTCAAAAGAATGGTTCTTTTCTAAGGTCAATGAGGACTACGACTTGAATACAGTAGTAGCGTATTGTTTGGCTAATACCAAATCTCGGTTTGTAGACCTAGATTTTACTATTCTATTCAGTGCTATGAACTAGCGACCGATATTAAACTTCACGCATTCCATTGCCTCATACTTTGTTGATAAACCTTTGTAAGCTTTCCCTCACTATCACAGAGCACTTGAAACAAGCCAACTAGGAAGAATAAAGGTTTGTTCCTGCTCATGATGACAGACACTTCAGCTCGTGGTTGACTGTCCTCACTGGTTTGGTCCTGTGAGGGGACAGCACATCATGGTGGGTGCTGTGTGGTGGAGCAAACTGCTCGCTTTAGGGTGGCTATAAGAAGAGAAAGAGAGGGCTGGGGTCAGCTTCTCACTACCCCCATGAGGGAGCAACCCCAATGATTTCACTCCTTCCCAGGAGCCGCACCTTCTGACAGCATCTAAGCTGGCCACCCAGGCTTTCACCTATGGGCCTTTGGGGAGCACTCCAGCCCCCAACTGTGTAACACTCATTTAAAGTCATTTACTTGTTGATCTTCACTGTTACTTTTTTTCTCTTTAGAAATATTTAAAAATGGACAATGAGTATTCTTATTTGGCCAGGGCAAGAGTGAAAACAAATATTCTGTCATCCAAAAATTGGCCGCTCTTTGCATATCGTGTGTGTGTGTGTGTGTGTGTGTGTGTGTGTGTGTGTGCATGTGTGTTGCTGGGATAGATGCCAAGGCTGTCACTGGCACTAGGCAAATACCCTACTGTTGAACTCATCTCTGATCCTTATGTCTGTTTTTTAAATAAATAAACCGCTGTCCATGGCATATTAATCCCTCCCCCAAATGCACCTTCTATAGTAAAATGTCTTCGATACAGACTGTATTTCCTTTGTAGTGACCCACAACGTGTATTATTTTATTAACAGTCCCAAGAAGTCTTGCTAAGACATCAACCCTTGACGTTTGTTTCCTTCTAGTGTTTTCTGAATTCATTTGACCACACTCTCAGTTTCTTTATACGGACACTCTACAATCCCCCTTAGGTCAAGTGTGGGGCAGGACACAGAGAAGAAGCCCCATCCTGTAATGTGCACCCTGAGGTAGGACATGACACCCAGGGCTTCAAGGACATCTGCTTCCAGCTTTGCTGGGAAGCTCTCCCCATCTACATGCCAAATTCAGTGGGAAATAAGCTGCCTAAAGAAAGGAGGCACTCAGAAAAGACCTATCATTCACATAGCGTGTGTGTGTGTGTGTGTGTGTGTGTGTGTGTGTGTGTGTTCTTAGCAGGAAGAATGTAATGAGATTTTTATAAAAGAGGTTTCAGAGAAAAACAAGGAGATTTCACTGTCTGCTTTTTCAGTAATGTTTATAAATCCAGTAGTGTGTGTTTTATTTGTTTGGGCTTTATAAATCTATAATTCAAACCAGGTTTTATTATTCCCTTCAACCCAGCCACCCATGTAGGCACAGAGCGCTCCAGAAACACACGACTAATTATTGTGGTTTCCCCTGCTGAACTTGAACGGTTTGGCATTGAATGTCAGCCTCTTGGCTGCTGGAATGTCTATGCAACAAGCTCTTTATTTTGGAACAGGAGTTGGTCAATATGAACCACTAATTTAAACATTCATTTTAGGTATTATCTTGCAATTTAAAAATCTTCAAACTTCCACACTACTTCTCTCAGTTGCATGTACTTCTTTGTTGTGTTTGCTGTCATTTTCTTTTTCTTTTCTTTTCCTTTTTTTCTTCTTTTATTGTATTTTAGGTAAGGGTGTACAGGGTGTTCAAGGTCTCACTACTAGATTGGACTCATAGTGATCCGCCTGTTTACAGCCTCCCAAGAGCTGGGATTACAGGTGCACACCACCACACCCAGTCTCAATTGAGGTCTCAGCTCTCCCTGGGGTGAGGGGGGTGGCAAGGCAGGCCAGGGGATCAAACCCCTGGCCTCTCAGCCTGCTTGCAGCTGCTGTAGTCTGCTGAGCTATTTGGCCGGCCCTCCTGTCATTTTCTTTTCAGTCCCTAAGGCAAAATGCTAGGACTTTATCAGTACAAATAATTTATGCGCGGTGCTTTTCTGCTCACATGCAATGGTGGAAATTTCCTTAGCATGAACATGTCTAGCTGGGAAATCTTTTCTCTGCTGCACATACAAGTACAATTAAGTTCAAAAATTGAGCCACTTAAGATACTAACAGTAAAATATCACTCTTCTCCCCCTTTTGAGAGTGAGTAATTTGTAGTTAAATAACAAACAGATGAAAACTCCTCTGAGACCCTTAGTAATAATAGGCAGGGAAAACCCCAGCAACACAATGCAGAATAAAATCCTAATCATGGCATGTCTAAACAAGATAAAAGGAGAGACAATACTTTGGAACTTTGCTAAGCCATCTTGGGGTTACTTTTTGACTTACAAAACAGTCAAGGTTTGGGGGAAAAATATTTTTCATCCTCCCTCCCTCAGTTGTGAGACACTGTTCACCTTTAAGAACCATCAGGGCCTGGCCCTAGCTCAGGCCTTTAAGTGGCTGCTTCCACAAAGCTGTCAGCCTCAGGTTGCTGGAGGTCGAACCTCACACCTCTCCCGCTGGCCAAAAGTGCCCTGAAGGCATTCAAGCAACAAAAAAAAAAAAAAAGAACCATCAGTGTTTGTTGCTATTTTCCACACCTAGTTGGCCTTTCTTTGTGGTCAACCAGTGCTGTGTCCAGTGAGTCATACATTTACTCATTACTATCCTATTATTCTGTTTCACCATATACTGTCTTTTCTTAAAAATGTATCAGGATATAAATGTCTTAAAGAAATAAAACAGATAATGAGACTTCTAAGGACACCCACAGGAAATTTCCATGAGAAAAAACGTTTTTGATCAAATATGTCTCACTGCTTCCAAGATTACTACCAGGAGCCGGTCCCAGCATGCTACACGTAAGGTGACACGTACCCCTCAACTATGGTCTAAAATAACAAGATGGAAGGCCAGCCAGATAGCTCAGTGGATTAAAGTACCTGTTTAGGTAGACAGAGGGGCTAGGGGCTTGATCCCCAGGCCTGCTGTGCCAGCCCCGACCCCAACTCTGGGGCGCGCTGAGTTAGCTATTGAGACTAGGCATGGTGGCACACATCTGTAATCTGAGCATTTAGGAGGATCACTATGAGTCCAATCTACTTAGTAAGACCCTGTACTACATATAAAATAAATAAATAAATAAAATTTAAAAATAAGATAACAAGATGTTGCCAGCAATTTCACTTCTGTATGGCTGAGACTGTGGAAGATGTGAATGAGAGTGAAACAAAGTTTCTAATTCGTTATTCATCATCCTACTGATCTCTCATGAGCATGTATGTACAAAACAAAACAGATCTTTCCATGAGAGAGATAGTAGATTCCAGGAGCATTTATTATGGTGGTCTTTTTTAATGTATCTTTATATCGTGTATGCCTAGGATATTTTGGAAAGGCTATACTTACGGATTTTCTGATATTCCCCAGCTGTGGCAGACCCTATTCCCAAGGGACTCCTACTGATGGACCCCTGGAGAAAAGTGGTGAGGCCACCCGGACATCTAGCAGGACAGGTAATGAAGGAGTTGTGTTGGATTTCTGATGTTCAGAATGAAAATTATTTTGGCTTGTTTTGTTCTTCATGATCTGAAAGGTAACATGTATTCCTGATTTGGAGAAAGCTAAGAAAAAGTAATTAAAATTATCTATAACTCTACTATATAGATTTAATCATAGTGTAGTTTTGGTATAAAGGTGCCCAAAATTCCTATACATCTGCTTAGAAGTGTATCCTTTTTTAATAAATGAAAGGCTCCCTGTGGATAACCCATTACCATTACGGACTACTGGACTATATTGGATTACTTTGCTAAATTCATGCACCTACAATATTTGAATGGCAATGGAATATCCATCTCTGGCAAAAGTAAAAAAAAAAGTTTGGGGGGGATATAAATGGAGGACCATTTTGTAATGAAAAAAACATATATATGCACATAGAAAATGGCATAGATATACAGCTACTTTCTCTTAGTTCAATGAGAAGAAACTTCTGAACTAATAGTGTTGGAACAAGATATCATGTCTGCATCTTGTGCTATGACTACTGGGAAGACAAAAATATGCAATATATTAATTATTGTAACTGTCCTACTAACCTGTCTTGAAACTGTCTCATTGCTATTTCTTTCTCAATAAAATTAATATAAAAATAAATGAAAGGCTGTTTTTATAGTACGTAGAGCTTTATGGAAATGTTTCGCGTTTTGCTGCTCGCTGTACCAGAGAGTGCGCATTTTGGTGTCATCATTAGAACTTGCTATCACAGACCCTAAGCAGTGACCCTGCTCGTATCGCTGCGAACGTGCATCAGTTTTCCTTTGAGATGGGAGGATGAAAAGTTCTAATGAAGGGCAGCGCAGCCAGGCCCTACTTATGTTCCGCAGCCGCTGACCTGTAATCTCTGTTGCCCTCAACCTTAGTTCTTTCCCTGTAGAATGGT